TGCTCCAACACCGTCCACTTCTTCTTGCCAAAAAGTTTTCAGAAACATCGCGATATAATTTGTGCGAAATTTATCGACGTCCTGCGCCGTGTTATTTGTTTTTCGTCTCGTTCCTGAACGCATTATAATGTGATCCGCACGACTTACGTTTCTGCACCAGCGCATTTTCATTTTCTCTCGCTGCAACAGATCTCGGTTCACGTCGGTGAATTATTACACGGTGCGGTCTTCGCGATTTAACGAGGCATCTCGGCGGCCTCTCCGCCTCTGTGACATGTATTCAATGACGGGAAACTTTTATTCCGACTCGTGCACACATGGCGACGTGAACTTTAGTATTCGAGTATAGAGGAGCTATATCGGCCCGCTCGAAAATTCAATACCAGCGTGCTAATATTCCCCGTCGCCGATCGCAGAAACCACAGAGTGCACTCGAAAGTGTCCGCGACAATCTCTCTCTCTCTCGAGAGAGAGAACTTGAAAGCTATCCCGCTGTCATCAATCTTTCGTCTGCGTTCGTCGCCGCGCCTCCGCGTAAAAATGTTCCTCGCCGGAGGAAATTATGTTAAAGAACTTCCGAAATTCGACATCGCCTCTATTTCTTTAGAAATGTTCGATTCTGAGCAAGACAGAGAGAGAGAGAGAGAGAGAGAGAGAGAGAGAGAGAGAGAGAGAGAGAGAGAGAGAGAGAAAGAGAGAGAAAGAGAGAGAGGATTTCTCCGGGATACTAACTAGCAATCGAAGAAGCCAGACCTGCTAGAACCTGCTGCGTTCGATTTTTAATACGGTACAATATTTCGTGACTATTACGATACATCAGACCGGAAGCAAGTACGATTGTTCTCAATTTATCTTATAGCACCTGCAACTGAAAGCTCTTCAATAGCGACGAAACACCTCCCACCTCGCGCTATCAAACCTATTCTCGACGATCCGTTTTCCACACCAACATCGGTAGACGTGTGATTTGTTCCCGCATTCGATGGGGGGAAAAAGCGAGGGGAAAAAAAGATGGCGACCGCTATTTATGCACGTTGACAGCGTCAGAATGGAGATCGTAAAGTGCAGATAAGTTAATTGATAGGCACGCGCGATCGATTTCTTGGCGTGAGGGACACATACGCATAGGAAATTATACGTTGCGTATCACGACAGAATGACGCAATCATCGCAACACCCGGCTTTTGTCCGCTCTAAACAAATCGACTTGGAGTGTTGACTTCGTGTGACGGCTCCAGGGAAAATTGTAATTATAAGTTTAATTAAAATTACAAGCAGAATTCTGTTTTCTCTCTCTCTCTCTCTCTCTCTCTCGACGTTCCGTCGCGAAATCATATGCCGTCCAAAGCTGGAGCTTTCTGCATTTCATATGCGAATACATAGGAGAATAGTATGATTTAACGATACGTACACGTCTATTATATTTGAGAGTACACATTCCCGTGTCGCATAAGCATATGCGATAAAATATACTGACTGATAAAATATAAAGGGCGAAGTCCAATAATACACACGTGCCAGCCATGGGATATTCTATGCGGTAATATAACGTGACGCGAAAGAAGGCAACGCGTGATAACAGCGCGTTGCTCTTTGCAGCGAGTAAATTTACCGGGTTCGAATTTAGCGTGCGAACGAACGGACAGGAACAAACCCGACAACGTGTTTTCGCGCGACATTAATTAAATTGTCCTCCCACTTGCTCACTCGCTCGCTCGCTCACACGACGCGTAATGAAGGTGAATATAATGAGCGTATTTAATCAAGCTGTTTAATCAAGGTGTCCTTTTACAGCCGGCCGCGCAATATCGTAAATAACTCGCTGGTACTCCCAACGCTCCTGTAAAAAGGTAATGGCGCGCTCGTGCTACGGACGATAGCCGAATAAAAGTATATTTCGGCCGACACAATGGCGCGAACATCCCGATGTTCTTTTCTCTCTCTCCCTTTTTACTTTTCTTCTTTTTACTTCCGCATGCAATAACGGCGACGGTCGACTTGAAATCCCCGGGCGAGCGTGCGGGAATACTTATCACAATGCGATAATGTGTGATTTAGAACGTAGAAAAATATCGCGCTCAAGGACAAAGTCCGCTAAGTCGTGAAGCGCTGTGCGCATGACCCAGCGCTTCGACGTTAATTTCGTGCGTTAACGCGAAAGTTAATGAGATCGTTACGAACTGAGCATCCGCAATTATTGTAATTTGCAATTGCCCGTGTAGAGATTCATTTACGCAACATGAAAAATGAGATTATGAATGTTCAATTGAGGAATTGGCGGTGGTAATAGATTCAGAGAGTACAGTTAATAATTAATAAAACAGATCATCAATTTGTAACACAGCGTCACATATAGTGATATGAGACGATGCCAGGGAAATTTCGACGACAACGCTCGGGCATTTAATGAGGGGGAGGAGGAATGCGAACATTGCGCCACTGAGGGGTAGGAGGGGTGCTCTAAATTACGCGATATTATCCGCGATGGATACCGAGAGGAGATTATTGCGCCTCGCGATAGCCGCATTACAAGCCGCGAAGTCGTTACACGAGGAGAACTCGTTCGAGTTCTAGCGAGTCGTCGCGAGAGTAAAACCCTGCGAAATTATGCCGGGAGAGGAACGCGACGATAAATCTTCCGCGTAGGATTGCCTTCCGGAATGGACCGGAAGACGCGAGAAATGGAAGGCGAAGGAGAAGGTAATCGGAGATGAGAGATAGCCTGAAGGTCGACCGGGCGTTTTGTGCTCGCCACTCACTGTAATTTTCCGACGATCGGGGGGTGGGGGGGGGGGAATCTTCGCATCCCACACCGTCGTCGCTTCGACGGGTACGAGTTTTTCATGGTAATCGAGAGGCACCGCTCGGCTTCGATCGGCCTCGCTTCTCACGGCGAACCCTGCCGCTCTTTGCCCTATATTTATTCTTTCGCTAATAGTTCATAAGTTCCGATAAAAGTGCGATCTTAATAGGACTACGATAACAAGTTCCGTTTCGTTTCGCTTCGCTCCGCTTCGTTTCATTCGTCCAAGTTTACGCATTCTGCAAATTTGCGCGCTCCTTTCAAAAGTCTATTCATGTTCGCCACGAGTGAGCGTAAAAATAGCTTAAAAATTCACGTCATGAGATACTTTCTTTAAAAGTAATAAAATAAATAAGCCAGTATTCTGACCGTGTATATAGCATTTTAATTACAAATATTATATAAACGTCTCGAACACACAAATTCAATTATCTAAAATGCAGTGAAATATTTGAAACCCGATATTCTGTCTCTCTTTTTCCTCTCCTTTCAATGTGTAACCGCGTATTATTGCTACTTGAATATTTGCGGCTTTAATGGTTACGCCAAAGCCGAAATTGCGAGCCATTGTACCGCCATGAATACGCGATGTATTATACCGGTACTGTCGCAAATGGCACGAAATGGATTTCGGGTTTTCGCGACTGCCGCCGCAGGAGATTTATAGGCGCTTTAAAAAGCTCAATGTTTTCGACGGCGCCGTTAGAACCGACGGTAAAAATCAATGCTACGGCTAAATATCGGAGCTAAACCTACCCGCACAAAACAGGCGCTAGAAAAGCTGCACATTCCCCCCGTATGTATGTCGCATGTGAACAAACGTGCGCGAGCATTTTCGGCGAAAATTTTCTGTTTTTTCTTTTGTCGAATCCATCCAGTTCATGCAAAACCGATATTTGTGCGCGTGACGATCGCGCGAACGTGTTAAAGTTTCTATATATAACTCTCGTATCCTACCGTATCCTGTAAAAATAACCGAATGGAGGGCATCGGTGTTCCGGTGGACAGTTCTCTTTTAATCGAACCCGACAGGTATTAAAGTGTTGTGGTTTTCGTAACAAAATGTACGAAGAAATAAGATTATAAGAATTAAAAAAAATGTAGAAAGCCTAAAGTTACTTCTCTCAATGAGAAAGAGAGAGAGAGAGAGAGAGAGATTTTGTGATAAAAATATTTCTTTTAATAAAAAGGATTTCACTGAATATTTAATGGAGTTGTAAAAAATGGGAAATAGTAGAACAAACTGATGTAACATCTACAAATATTGTTAATAATTTATGTTGCAGTAACGACCGACGCAATGTTAGGCAACAATAAAAAAATCTTTTTATTTATAACTGGAAGCGTGCAATATATAAATGTTCTGTTTCAATTTATTTCAGAATGACTTTTACGTCGGTGCAATTTCGCATAATATTTATTATACACTCCGGCTTCAAAAACTGACTGATAAATTTTTAATAAAACATAGCATGCAATTTTGCGCGCTCGCACGCACAACACAGCCGTTAAATTCATTTTTTCCCGTGTAAATGGCCAAAATGTAATCAGTTTCACGAAGCGTCTCGCTCCATTATTGCTTGAAACATTCGAAATAAAAACGAGAGAGAAACCTGTCCACCTGTTCTTTTTTAAACGATATATATATATGTATGTATGTTGTATGTATGTATGTATGTATGTATATATATATGTATATATGTATGCGTATATGTCGTTGCAATATAAATAACAACACGTCGGCCACCGAGTTCGATGTGTCGACCTTATGGCAAGTGGCGATAACGAGCCGCGCGTCGCGCGTTCATAATGTCGGAACTTCTCATCAAGAGAGAGAGAAGAGTGAATGAAGAGGTTCTCTGGGATGATCCTTCGAGGGAGTCATGGCCATATAATATTGCGCCTTTAATATAAGAGAAAGAGAAAGAGAAAGAGAAAGAAAAAGAAAAAAGCGATATGAAAACAGTAACACATGTTATACATGTGAACATTAGATTCCAATATAATTATGAAGTAAACATAACATTGAATATCAGAAGACATTCAATGTTATATATAGTCAGTCAGAGTGCACGATGTTGAAAAATCTACCGTGATGAGAAATATTCTCTCGCACTTGCGTATCTCCCTATCTCTCTCTTCTCTTTATGATATGCAGTTCATTAAGTGATACAGCGAAATGCAGATGCATACATTTTCCGTGTGCGCCAAGTTCCTTTACTTCGCGAACGAAGCGCTTCTTTTTCCCTCTTATTTTCCACACCTTCCTTCCTATCTCCTCCTCCTCCCCTCTCGCGCTCCAAGGAGGCACACCATCACCCTCGTGGAAATGAGTTTCTATGAGAAAGTTTTGAAGTTCGACTTACCGCTGCAGGATATTTCGCATCTCCGCTACCCAACGACCGAAGTTGTTTTTTCTTCGCGAAAAGCCAGCCGGTAGCCGCTGCCGCCGCCGTTGCTCTGTGAGTTTTCATTCCATTGAAATTGCAGAAGCTCGTCCTGAAATTACGTAACGGGCATTACGTATGTAATGCGATGTTAACGTAAAAATAACGATCGGCGAATTTTCACGGATGAACAATGAAATTATCAACACGGCAGTAATTATTGTGTCTTGACGCGTGAATTGCATAACTAGGGATATAAACGTTTGCGTTACTGTCGGAGAAAATAAAATAGTATATCCGCATTAAATCGTCCGTCCAGCAAAGCGTGTTAATTTTAATAATTTTATATTTTTCACGCAGAAACCACACAAAGCGTGCGCGTCTACCGGCAAAAAAACCGCTGCTTGTTTGTTTATTTTGTGAATGCATTTCTCCCTATTAATATTTTTTTTTCTCAATGTAAACTGTGCCGATATATAATGAAAATTGCATAGTTGACATCACACTAAAAAAACGGAATGGGAATGGTTGCAGATATATTTCCTCTTTTTTCTTTTTTTAAGGAATATAAATACCGAAACCGTTGATCGTGCGGCAATATTGACCTTCCCTACGCCGGAATGAGGAACGTTTTTAATAAATTCGCGTCGCCGGATCGTTTCTCTCCCAGAGGCGTCGTTTAAATTCGCCCGAATAAAATTTCACGACTGTTTTCGTTATTTCGTGTTGCCGGTATACGAACGACGATTCGATCGATTTTCAATGACGCCTGTATCGTGTATGCAGCGCAATGAAACGAAGGGCGACAATAAGACAAAATTCGGAGAGCGCTTTGATCGACACGCGTTTGACTCTCGAGCGCGTTCATCGATCATATTTATTCGGCATATTCGTTCGTCAGACGTCCCTTCAAAACGATGTTTTGAGAGCACTGTGTACAGTAAATAAATTCACTTACCGTGTTCGTTATCACTGCATAATTATTTCCGCGTTCTGATCTCGCACTCGAATGCTGCTCTTGGCCGCTCCGTCGTTCCGGATATTCAGACGGACACGAAAATCTACCGAAGAAATACGCTAATTACGATCGGCGACTGTTAATAAATGCGACAGCGACCTGGCGACCGTTGCCGTTGTTGCTGCACACGGCATACAAAACGCTCTCTCCAGACGAATGAAACACACGAAACATAGTGGACATCTTTGCACTTCCGGCGTACGCCGCGACGTACGAATTCACATAAAATTCAAATAACTCGACAGCAACTTCACTCCGATGTGTTTACCGTGAGGTTACGTACCCGACTGAGTTACCGATAGCTTGAGATACGCAATGTGCCATCAAAATATTCTTACGCACAGGATGACCTCTACGGAAAAAACACTCAAACATTCAGTGTTTGCACTTAATATTGAATGTATGTTCAGATTTAAGAGTAAATTCTGAGCAAAAATTGAGTGTAAACGCTCAATATTTGCGTTTTTGCCGCAAGGGGAAACTCACTTTATGTTCACGATTCGCTCATTTTCTCATCATTTTCGCATTATTTTAACGTATATTCATGCTTTTCTGCTGTTCTACGTGAACGTGTTACCAATTCGCATAGTATATCTAATCTCGTGATGTGCATCTAACCTTATTTTATAATCTATCCTTATTTTATAATCTAACCTCATTCTTCTTACAATTACGAATTCGTGTTTCGACATGATGTTGCTGACACGAATGAAAGGTCAAACTTACCGAAATGCGGAGATGCTTGTCTCGTCGAATGGAAACTAACCTTTTCGCCTTATTATGTTGATCGTACGTTGTCAGCCTCGACAATGACACGACGCGATGGTCCGGAGTATTGCAGAATATCGCGCTTGATCGCGTTTACGCGATTCGAATAATATGCGGAAACAATGGTCTATCGCGAGATACAACACTCCCGATGTTCGTTCGCAAGCGACACTTTCGTGAAAAGGACACGACAAAAGCACGAAGTGATCCTCGTTTGAATCGTTGCGAAACGACTCAAGTCTGGTCACATGATGTCACTACAGTAGGCACTTGAACAACTGTTAAAATATTTTCGACATAATAATCGACGATGAAACATTTTGACAACGATGTTTCTTTCCATATTTCGAATACTAAGACTGTATCGAGAATTTTGCATATTTGAAATAACGTGATCTGTAATGATTACACGAAACGTGCAGCTAGGATTTGTCGAGCGTATTGATGAGTTTCGGAACGAACCATTGCACGATAGTTCGGTAGGGAAATCGCTCCGTGCGTCTCGCTATTGTAACCCGTTGGGAACACGATTCGCGTGCGAATTAACATTGTCGGGAGTGCCAAAAGTGAATATTGCGCGTACGCGCGATGACGAAACGACGTGACGCAGTTTCGTCGCAGTCGGGAGTGAACATTGTTCCGACGAAACGCTTTCGTAAGTGCCGAGTGTTTGTCGTCATTGTGACAAAAGTTCAAATTGCTGCCTTTTACGTTGCCGGTCTGCTGCGAGCGAGTCTCATCGGGTCATCGTGAAGAATGTTCGCGGGAGCATCGTAATCGGGACGGTTCGGAACGTGAGATCACTCTGCGCTTTCCAAACATCGAGGACAAAAAGAAGCATCGGTGAGTAATAATAATAAAGCAGACGTTGCGACAGATAAAGCACGCCCGCGACTTTTGCGTGTCAAGTCGCGCGCACACACACACATTTTCCGTTCGCGAATTCATATTAAATAGAGAGTGGCTGATTCCTATAAAGCATTGGGGAGAAATCGTACTAATTGAAAGTAATAATCGAAATAAGTTTCAAGGGAATTTGGTTCAACAAAACCAAAGATTTCCCTTCCAAAATACTGGCATTCTGGCGATTGGCATTCTCAATTGAGTATCTCGTCGATGATGGCCGGGAAAAGGTTAAGTCTCTGGTCGGTAAAGTAGGATTTTGTTGGAAGTTTCTGTATACTATCCATGCATGGTTCATGGTAGTTTTCTTCCGATTTACACTGCTGGCTCTGGCGCCACGCGATAGCCGTGTTAGAATTAGATCAAAGAAGAAGGTTGTGTAGTGCAAAAGAGAGTGCAGAAGTCTAATATATATTCTAATAGATATATATATAAACGAAGAAAACAAAATAATTTCACGGATATTGGAATAACATTGAGGTAATTATGATCATGAAACAAAATGATGCAAACAGAATATTGTATTGATCCATCTACGTATTCTAAAGTGCAATTAATTCTAACCTATGTGGTATTACATTCTCATTCTTTCAATGGATTAACTTTTAGATCGAAAGATGACGTCTCGGATGAAAGTCTTTTGGACTTTTGTACGTCATTATGCTGCACCAAAGAGTTGGAAGCCAGATGGTGTGAAATACGGATATGTTACATATTATCCAAAGTAAGGTTATGTTGGACCGTGTAGTATATGTATATGTAGTATGCTCCAATTCCTTTAAAATGATTTATTTAAAAATTTTGATACAAGTTCGTTTATCATATTTATGTGTATAAACGTATATAATAAGTGTAATTACTTCAAAGATTATAATCTGTTAAATTTGATTTTTGTAATTGTTTATATTTCTACATTATGAATGTTAAATGGAGAATATTGTAATTTAAGATATCACATTCTAAAAAGCTAAATATTTACTGATGGGTTTACATAATTTGAAAGAATTGGAGTAACAAAATTTGTGTTTGATAAGCAGTACAATGATAGCTATTGCTTTGGATATTCACTAAAGCATATTTATAGAAGCCCGAATCATGTTGATCCAAGTATCACACCAAGTAAACTTCTAATGGTAACATTAGTGAAACCTTATATGGGTAATCCTTATTATCTAAAGGATATACTTACAAAACAATTACGTCTTAAAGAACGGGTAATTCAAGTTTTTGGTATTAAATAGAATGTTATTCATTGTCGATTCTTTATTTACTTAATAATCATCTTATAGGGAAGAGAACCTGTAATTGTTAAGAACACACCAGAGAATTGTGCCTTACTTTGGAAGGTAAAGCATTTAGTGAAAATTGTTCCCATAAAATTGCCCGAAAAGTTGCCAACAGCAGATGATTTGAATGGCACATATTTACACGAGAATGGCACATTTTATGTCATACCGAAAGTAGATCCTGCACGTTATGAAGCCACAGAAGAGTATATAAACGACCCGAAGAAGCTAAATCGCAATCTTATTTCAGAAAAATTGAGACTTAAATGGTTATCACAGTAAAATAAATACTATAATGTTGTTCAATAAAATAAAATAAAATTGCCAATGTCATTAATATTGATATAAATCCAAAAATCTCAAATTTGAAATAATCTTGTAATAATGATGCAACTGCAATCTTTTTATCTGACACAAAATGTTTTGAAATGCGTTGTATAGTATCATTAAAAGGGAATATACATGATGTATATTTTCTGCAGGAACGCATCTTGTAGAAGATGTATAACACAAAACCGTTTATTAATAAATAACTCTATACTTTAAGAAATACAAAGGAGAGAGAAAGATGGTTGAACAAATAATATAGTTTATTTATATTCTGCGTATACGGCCGATCGACCGGTTTACAACCTACTAACAATAATGTTAAAATTTCTGTGTTTTATCGTATTTATCATTGTCCCGTATCCCCGGGTATATCGCAATTGATTTCAACGTGACGTTGTCTCCTAACGGAAATTTAACCTGAGGCTCATGTCGACGAGATACTGAATGTTGAAAATGAATAAGAGTCACAACAAACGTGTCAAAAATCCAATTATGTTTCCAATATGATCGGGAGGTCTATGGCTGGAAGCCCGGTGGATCTGGGACGCGTCGTACGCGAGAGCAAAATCTATGCGGTGTTTCGCAGCGGGATACCGTTGGCTCAATTATATGTTCCTTCGCTTTACGTTTAGTCGAAAAGTTTCAATAAATATGGGTCCGATCGGGAAGCACTGAAGATACACATTTTCAAGCACACGACAAGAGATACGTAACTTCACAACGCAATAACATTCGCTTAGATCTCTTCCAAGTTCGATTGTCGGTTCACTTGAATATTTTCAATGCTTCAATCTGCAACGGCTGTCACGTAATGACAATAATGTAATCTCAAATTTAATTTAATCCAATTTAAAATTGCTTTATCCCCTCATGTAATACTGCTGGCTATAATAATGATAATGATAATAAAAGTTCTTGTACGTATATACGAATTATAAATTGGATTATATATAAATTCAAGATTACATTATTATAATATCTTATGATCGCCTCACAATCGATTCGTATATTTATTTTATCTCTTCCACTCCAAATTAATTCAACGCCACGTAAGCCCCGAGCTATCGAGACCCCGTTGCGGGACATCCCATATAATAAGTGGAAGATAGTGCCGCTTAGGGTCAGTCGTGCGGACCTACCTAGATGTAGTGTTCCAAAAAGAAAAAAAGAGAAAGGAAAAACGAAGTTCAGAAAGAAGTTCTAGATTCCGCGAGCGAGTCTAGATTACGAATTCGCGCCGATCGGTCAGCTTCTTAACGATTCAAAAATCAGCTCTCAACAATCCGCTAGGCCATGTCCTGAGGACGTCTCCTGTCATATCCGAAATTCAGCAAGCACACTAATAACGCGATTTTCTTACATCCTCGAAACTGTACTCGAATCCTAATCCTGTAAACTAGCCTCTGCCACCGTCGACGAATGACGTTTACTCCTTTGGCGATACTAAGAAGTGGACTAAGTTGGAATTATAGTTAAATCTAACGTCGCTATTCGTATTCCACTATCGTACTATGAAAACAACTTCGGCCTCGTATATGCTCGAGCGGAATTCAAAAAGTCTCGGATATAACGTTTTCGAATGTTTTTTTTTCTTTTTTTCTTGGAAGTCCTAGTAACGGAGAGACAGTGATCGCCGTTCTCTTTCGATTCTCCCGTCCTTTGCACTCCTTTCTCGCTTTTATGAGTGTATGAATTTGTGTGAGCGACGGCTTACCCGTGGCTTAGGGTTGTATTAGCACCATGCAGGTGCACCTTTCCGAGTTGTATCAATCCTTCACTCCGTATTCAGTGTCCTTCGGCGCACACATACGTCCGGATATATTTTTTGTGCTAATCCTGATCTTTTCGATGACTCTACACTCGTTACACTCGTCACTGTATCGCTCTATACCGGCTCTGCCGAGTCGATGTTATTAATATATTCCGATATATATTGATTAACATTTCTCAAAATTCGTAACATTAATATCGAGATCTCAATATTTCGATATACAGCTGCTCTAATTCAATACTGAGACATCTTCGAATAGCGAGACGATAGAGAGAGATAGTCCTTCTGAAAAATTTAAATTTTATTTCTTAAGGAAAATATGGGGTTTCGCAGGTGGCAAATTTAGCCGATGTTAATACTCATCGATTTCGTCAATCATTTCTCGATATTGCGTCAGAGCAGTGCGATGTATATAATACATTAATATATTCAAATATATTAATAACATTCCTCCAAACTGTACACATCGCGCGTATGACTTAATTTACTTGGGTTTTGCAGCTTCGTATAAAATTAACCGTTAATCACGTTCCACTTGTCCTAATCCTAATGACGAGCTATGATGTCGTGACGCGTGAGCGCTCCTCGGCGTGGTTGTTTCCTCGTCGAGAAACGGTACCTCCGATAGCCAGCGCGATCGCCTCAATCGAGTTACCGTCGATGTTGAACATCGACGATATCTCATCATCAGCGGGAAGAACCCACGAATAATCCATCGCTCCGCGGCGGTGCCGCGACACCCCCGCCCCGCGCGAATCTACGCGGAACTGGCTCGTCTTCGATTGCGCAGCTTCCAGAAACGCCGGTCCCTCGACGTGTGATGAATGGAGATCGTGTTCTGCGCCCTCGTGCCCTTCTCCGGCATGTACATTCGCAAGAGTCGCGCCGCCCTCTCCTCCTGCGACCTATCCGCCGCTTTGCCACTTAGGAAGCTCAACAGCTTCATGCTCCGTCTCTTGATTCTCAGCCTGTTGAGGAAGTTGGTCTCGCTGGTGCTGGCGCCGGCACCGGACGGACTCGCGCCGTTCTGATCGTCGAGTTCCTCTTCCAGTCTCCTCGATCTTCGCAGAAGCTGATCGATCTGCCTTCTGCCTCGGTGTCTTCTCCTGTCAGCTGCCAATTCGAGCGTACCTTCCCGTTGCAACAGCACCTCCCGCCGCCTCTCAGCGTTCATTTTCTCAGCGTTGCGCGAGCTGGTCTCCTCGGCTCGCCTCGCTACCGACTCCAGCTCGCGTAGGCGCTCGGCCTCCTTGTTGGAGGTCCGCGAGTCGGTGGGCGAGCCGGTCGCCGTGTCTAACGACGACGACGCCGTCGCCGCCGCCGCCGCCGCGGCGCATGCCACGTCGTCCACGTCCGACAGTTTGCGATGCAAGTCGACGATCTTCCGGCGGAACTCCTCGTCCTCCTGGCTGAGCTTAGCGAAGATGCGGTCGCGCTCCTCCACGTTGCCGCCGAGGATGCTCTTGGCCGAGGAGCTCGTCGTTTGAAACCGCTGTCACCACCATCCGACCTGGTGCTTGCCGCCGCTACCTGGTGAGTCCTCCTCCTCGGGCAGCGGCTCCAGCCGCCTCCTGCCCAGGTAGCAGCGTAGCGAGCTCAGACTACCGCCGCCCAGCAGCTGGTCCATGCTCAGCTCCGGCAACGAGCAGTCCTCGCTCTCCGACTCCTGGTCGCCGTCGTCCTCCGCCGATAAATTTAGACCGTAATTGTCCTCGCCACCCCCCGCGCCGCTGCTGCTGGCGGTGCCGTTCGGCGGCGGCTAGGGAAGTCAGGCACAGCTCGGGCTAGTGATTCTTTGGCAAAAACAGAGGGCAAGCGTCGTCATGCAGAGGCGTGCGAAGCTTACGAGCTATCTTGTCGGGCTGCAGCTCGTGTCGCCGGGTCTGCATCGAGAGATACCTCGCGGTTACCTCGCGAGTTGTATAGCGAAGGAATCCCATATTTGCCGTTGCAATAAATTATTATTGATAATCCGCACAACCACGGACAAAAGGATCGTCCGCGATTAGGCATGTGGACTAATTGATTGATGGCATGTGATAATTAGTAAGTTCAAATTTACTATCGTGTATGATTCGCAATCGTTTCGGAAAGTCTCTGGTTTAGATGCAGACACCTGTGACTCGTATCCCATTAATTAGCGCCAAGTGCAGTTGCCTAATTGTTAGAAGTAGTCTCACGAGTTCGTGCTTGATGTTGTCACGGATAGCGATGATATTCGTAGCGGCACTTAGCGGTAAGTGCAGGGAAAAACGTACGAGTTGCAGTCTTCGGGACGGTAAATAAAGAAGGTCGCTCTAAGATCTTGTTAAACTCTGAAGCAAGGTCTTTTGCAAACTATAATATACAGAATACGATTGTGATTTTCACATTCACGCGGAGTGCGATTTAAGCGAATCAATGCTCCGGGGCTAGAAGTCGTTCATACAAGCAAGCTTTTTATGTAAAATTGTAGTGGCGCGTGTCGAGTGATCAGCTCTTGCGTTCGCAACTTGCGTCGTTTATTCAGTACAGTACATAAATCATAATTCTTGTCACAGGCACTTTCATCAAAAATCCATGCGGAATTTAGCTTAAAGAAAAACTGAACGTGAAAGTTCGTAAAAAAATTCTTTCTATAAATATCAAACGTGATAGAAACGAAGAGAACTTGATCAATCGTGACCGCTCGATACGTGATAAGATCCGTCGCAACGAACGTCAGAACTCGTAGTTCGTTGCGCAGATCTCCAAGCTTCAGCTATCAGTTTCGGATGCGAATCGAAGTATCGAGTGGTCGCAAACGTTATTACCGAATTAGCGGTGAAACTCTCGTCGTCTGGCCCACCGGAGGTCGGCGTGCCCCATATGTCGTCCCCCGATGTCGCTCCGGACGTGGTACCCTCTTCGTCGTTCGGGTCCAACGAGAACTCGGTCCTCTCCGGCGGTACCGGTGGATGCAGCAAGTAACCGCCGACGTTCTCGCCGAGTTGCTCCAAGAGAACCATCTTGCTGACGACGTAGTTGCTCGCTCGGGCGGTCCACGCTCTTAAGCCAGACGGCGGTGATTCCGAATCCCTGTTGTCGTCGTCCCCCTGTTCGTCCAGCTCGTCGTCCTGATCCAAACTGCTCATTGTGCCAAACCGCCTCAAAGCTCTGCGCGAGAACGAGTCGTTAATAATCACTACGTTGATTAGAGCATTCCCTATCAATTTCTTCAACACCGAAACTCCGGTAGCTCGTCGTTG